GGGGCGCTACGCTTGCGTCGGGCGTGCGCGCCTGGGGAGCGCCCCACAGCGCCTGCCGCCTTTGACAAGGCGCGCACTTGAGTAATAGGGCAGAATCTCACTTTTATTCAGTGGGTTATTGGGTATAAACCCACTTCCCACTTAAACCCGATCTCTCACTTCTATTCAGTGGGTTAGGGTTTTGTCGCTCCTCCCACTCTTTCTCCCGAAACCCGATTTCTCCTTGCGGTCTCCACTTGGCAGCAGCAAGCAGCAAAGGTGAGCGGCGACGGAGCAGCGAGCATGTACGTTCTTCTTCTCCTTTCTCTTTGAAGGGGATGATGATGATGTTAATGAGGTTGATTAGAGTCGTTACGCTATTATTTTACTACTTATTTGCTTTGTTTTATTAGATTGCTTGTTTTGCTTTGATGTTAGTGAACTCCTTAAGTGTTCTAGCTGCTTAGTTGTTTTGTTTTGACGGACAACTTGATTTGCTTTAATGATTAAAACTTTATCTTGTGATTTTGTAGTATATATTCTATTTATCTTGAGTCCTTAACATTTTCTATGTGAAATTTCACAAATATATTGTTTTTCTTTGATCTTGTATATCTTCAAAATTTTTGTGGTCTGGAGTGCGTCTCGCTTCGCACGGGCGCACGCATCGCATTGCGCCTTGCGCATGTGCGTGTAAACTGACTTTGCGCCCCGCATTGCGCCTCACGCATTGAAAACACTGCTTCCGCAGCACAAAGACAAATCCTATCAGAACAATCTGCATGCAAGCGAGTCATTCTCATCCATATAAAGGGTAGTGAAATTCCCAAATTACGCCCCCACTTCCTTATGTATGCGTCAGAATGTCCTAATAGTGATAGTGTACTTCCTCAGGCTCTTAGTACTGCTTGCCAGCCAAATATAAGCATGTAGCCATAACCATAAGCATATCGCAAATCTGATGTAACACTTCAACACTCCCTCACGTGAGTCCTTGGGTTAGACATCAACAGAACTTGCTCGGAAGGGAAGAAGAAAGGATGCTAACAAACATATTCTTAAGTTGCTAATTATTCACCATTCAGCTTAACCAAGGAACTCTTAAATTCTAGTGCTTAGATACAAAAAGAGTTACTTTGTCCAAGAACTTCAGCTATTGGTTTAAAGAGAATACTTTACATAGAAAAGACTAATAAGTTATAAGCCTATTTAAAAATAGCCTCGGCAAACAACGAAAGAATCAATATACACTCATCTAAACATTTAAAGGTCGAAGAGTTGCTTCTAGTCAGAAAAACAAGTAAACAACATACCTACTTGTCCGTTGAGAATGTCTCTCATCTCCTCTTAAGTGATCTCATCTTCATTGTGCTAGATTTATCTGTCCATACCACCACATTTCCATCTTTAATTAAAGAACATAGTTCACCTAGGTGGTTGTATTACTAGGAGTTCTCCAAATTGCTGATTGACTAGTTAGACCTTTGGCTCTTCTTTTCCAAAGCAATCACACACATTAGCTTTAATCCCCTTCCATGTAGGGCCATCATCAGAAGTTGGAGACATAAACAATGTTGGGACATCTATGTAGCATGGAAACGGGTATGGCTATGGGTACGGGTCATGGGAAATTCGTAAGAGGTAGGGTATGGGGACAGGTCTACATAAATATTTATATACACATTACACATATATATCAATATTGAAATTAATAATTTCTATGAGATCAATATTGTTGTCCATTCACATGTTATAAGAATTAAAATTCCTATAATATTTTTATAATCTTTTATTACGTGTAAATGGGAAAACCACTGATTTTTGAATGAGTTACTAAAATGACCATTTAAAATCATAGCTCGGATTTCGACATATGTCCAACGAGTTTCAGGAATTGGATCTGAAGTGTAGGATATCGTTCAAGTAGTGAATGACGAGTGTTTCAAATAAAAAGAAAACATTTATTGTATAATTGTGTACCCGCATGAGTAAATGTATGCATATATGCTAAGAGGTCCACAAAGATTAGATACGGATACAGGTATGTGTATGTGTCGCGTATGGGCATGGCTTCAGAGATAGACGCTAGGTTACTCGGACATGGCATTTTGGGTGTCATGTCCATGTCTGACACGTGTCAGACACGGATTCTCCGCAGATAAGCCATGAACACGTGTGATTCAAAGCAAAGCCCAATTTCCCCATTACTTATACCCTAAACTAGTTTTTTTTGGTAATATCAGGTTCAAAACCAATTAGTTTTTAAACTGACACCCATTACTTAAAATTTTTGAAAGATACCTATTGTATTATCCCACGCAGTCAAAACTAAGCTTTGTTGTTAAACCTTATTATTAGTTTGATTTAACTTGATTCTTAATTGTTATAGATAATAGAAATAAACATACAAATGTTACACACACATATATAGACATGTGCGTGGACAAACAAACACACGCACACACAGAGATATATATGTCCTTGTATCCTACATTTTACAAATTTTCCATGTCCCCTATCTGTATCTTTGTTCATGTCCGCACTGTCTTTGCTACCTAAGATGGAAATACCCAGGTAACATCATGGGACACCTTAATGATTCAATATAGGGGTTCACAAGCTTCAAAGTAGTTATAGCCACAACGGTACTAAAGTGTGAAGTTTTTCATGCTCAATTAAAAGTGTCTTTTTCACTTTAGGTACATTACTCCATTTTTGTTATAGAAGTACATAAAACTCTTACTTAGAGTTGTAAGAAGATGTTAAAATATATCCCATATTGTAGACCATTACAAATCGGAATGCAATGGAATCAAAGAAATGATAGACATCACGAGCTTTGGGGGGAATACAACATTTCCGCATTTGAAAGCAAGTAAAAGAAATGAAAAAGATTTCACGTTCTATCTGCATAATTAAAAAAAGTTCGCAAACAAAATATTAGTTGTAGATTATACTAGTAAGCAATGGTACCAATTTACACCAGTGAATCTACACACATTCACAAAAGCTGTCTGACTCACAACCTACAAATTGTAGCAAATAAGCTAGATATTATCACAAATATTGCTTCAACAAATGGATTAACTTTTTAGATGATCCGAACAAACACCTTGTATGAAACTAACCAATATAGACAGTCATATGAAGGCACTGGTGAACATGAAAGACCTAACACTGTCATGTCTCTTCAAATATCCTTATAGATTTATTATTTATCGAGATAGCCTCTGATATAGTGTCAATTATTCTTGTACATTATCAATACATACTAATGAATTTTTTGGCATTGGCAATTGCAAGAAGTTTGCTTAAGATATTAATAACTAATAAGCTTGTAAAGCTTTGTCATTGAGGTCTAGTACTGGACCAAGATGTGAGCTATGCAGTTGATTCAAGATATCCAATTCTTCTCACTTTTCTCTTGCATAAATATTGACCTTTTCAATGTAGAAATGCCATGAAATTTAACTAATCCCTGCTATTTTGTCAGGAGGAGTGCGAGAATAAGAAAGCAGAACAGGAAAATGCACTTTAGCCTGTTGAAGTTCAATTTCATTTCTCTTTTTCCCCCATTCTATTTGCGCTAGTGCCTTAATTTAGCATGGAACTCATATGATCATTTCATCCTATTAAGAGGAGCCAAATAGTCGCTTTGAATCAGACACAACAGAAACTCCACTACTTCATAAATAAAAATTTAGACCTTCTAATCTGCAGATAAAGCTTTATATCAACTACTAGAGAGAAAAAAATTCCAATAGACAAACCATTTGACAGCATTAGTTTACTTAAACTGGAAAAGGTCCTATACTTGTAAGCAAGCTCTATAATATATTCAACTAATAACTAATAGTCAAGAAACATATTAGCCAAGGTAAATGATTGAATCTACATACTTCTAAATCAGAAGGCTAACTTACAGAAAGAACCCCTGTTACTTGTAGAAATGGCAGAAAACCCTGTAAGGTTTTAAAAGTGACGATTTTCCCTCCTCTTCCACTTTTAGTCATAATCATCAATACTTTTGATACATCCGTTAACTTCAGATAAAATAATCATATACATGTCTACATGGACATAGAGGTAATTATCATGTTCTATTACTAAAGTTTTTCACAACCAAATAAATATTTTTAAATTAAACATGAGGGAGTCAAAATGTCACTTTTAAACTCTAACGCAGTAATCTCTGCATATCATGCAAACCTTGGAGAGATATTATGTAATTTACCCAAATCAGAGACATAAAAAATAGGGTTCCATGGCAACTTACAGGTCCAAAAGACCTTGAATCCAAACTCCAGTCTGAATTGTCACCCTCAACCCAACAATGCCCTAGTGGAACCTTAATCACTTCCGATGACTGAGGAACTTGAATCCATTCACCAGGCAAACCAATTATTCTCTTGACATACTGCTTCTTGTGGTCACTAGGCAACCTACAAAACATCAAATTTAATAAGCATAAGATATCAAATTCCCTAATTACTTCACCTTATTAAGTTATTTGCACTTTAGCACCACCAATATTTCATCATTTCTTAACTTTGATACCTTAAGTTCTATGTTGACAATTTAATACCCCAAAGTGAAAAAAAATGATGTTTATTTTATTCAATAATATCACCACAGAAAGTGATTGAGAAACAAATTTTCTTACCAAATTTAGTTTTTTGAGTTTCGGAAAGTGAGGAACAAAGTTAGGGCTTTGGTGTATCAAATTGTCAAATTAATATCAATGAAACTTTGGGGTATCAAATTGTCAAAATAGAACTTCATAAAGTTAAAAAGGGGTAAATTTCACGAAACCCCTAAAAGAAGCTTGGCTAATTTTGAGATAACCCCAAAATGTTTGGAAATGTCACTTCACGCCCAAAACTATAGCATTTTTAAATCTATTTTCATAGAATCCCCAAATAGTTTGGAAAAGTACCTCAAACCCCAAAAACTTTGCATTATTTGAATCTATTTTCTTATAACCCCCAACTTTCTGGGGTTAAGTGACATTTCCAAACTTTTTGGGCTTATCTCAAAACGTGCCAAACTTCTTAGGTTCTGTAATATTTACCAAGGTTGAAACTTTGGGGGTATTAAAGGGCAAATAAACCCCTTGTTAATCTAAAAACACAACTTACTTGAAAACCACCACATCCCCATGAGAGAAACTGTACTTATCAAGGCAGAATTTTTCGACAACTACAATATCACCCTTCAATGATCCAGGGAAATTGGTATGACTATTTGCAAATGTAGGGTGCATTGATATGCCTCTCACAGGAGTAATGGTTAGATATCGATCTGAAATTGTTAGCCCAATCACTCCACCAATTATAGAGCTCTTTGTGAACTGCCACAAGTATTTCCATGATCCCATGACCTTAAAAATTCTGAAGCAAATAAAGACCCCTAAATGAATGTCCCATTAAATATTTAATTAGAAAATCTAAAAAAATAAACACTAGAAAGCAAATTCATCGAAAAGAAGTTCTCTCTCTAACTCATAATTAACTTCCAATCATAAGAAGCTCAAGTAACCATGAAATTCAAATCCTTGCTCCTAAGCTGAAGTGATCTAATCCAACTCAGAATAATTAATCCAAAAGAAGTTCTCTTTTAAGCATCGAGCTATCAAATATCAGTCAAGATCCAACCCTAATTTCATATCAACTACGATTTCAATAAAATCTCCTCAATAGTCAAGATCAGTGCCCCAAAAGTTCGAATTTCATAATATTGAATCCAAGAACCAAATAAGTAATTAGGAAGAAAAAAAAGGCGATGGATCCAATTCAACAACAAATCGATGAAGGACTATTACCTCTAATTAATTCTTCCTAAAGCTGTGATTTTGTGCTCCAAGAGGAATCAAAATCAAAGAAAAGAAATTTTTCTGGGGATCTACAAACAGGTTGGGCACAAATGATGAAGAAACTGATAAGGGGGCAATTTTTTTACCAGCAAGTCTTTGTTCCTTCACCGGCTGGAGACAGTTGCCATGTCCTAGTGTTTTTAGCATATATACCCTTAAAGAATTTCTATATTACGTATATTTATTTCTTGTGTTTGAGGTCTTACATAGTTTTCAAATTTATATGACATTTTCATTTTAACTCCATTAAACACACTTTGTATATGAATTTTGGTTTTATAACAATACTAGTATTTAGAAACCGTGCATCTAAAAGATTTTCTGTAAATACTAAACGTGTTACCAAAATAAAGTATTCTGCTTTAGAAATGAAAGGTAAGATGTAATGCAAATAATGACATTCATGTTTGTTAATAAATAAACAAAAAAGAAGCATTAACTATATAAATACAAAAATGTCTGGAAAAGTATGATTCGATCAGTCTCCCTTCTCCCTTCCTCAATTTCTAGGGTTTCGTCGCAATCAATGGCAGTTCGAGCAATAGCAACATCAACGACGAAACCAATATGGATGAAGCAAGCAGTGGAGGCCAAGATCAAGAGCGAGGCCGAGAAACCTTAGAAAAAGAATGCATTTATATAATTCAATGGTGTTAACATGACTAACATAATCAATTAATGAATGCTTCTAATATTATTAACATACAGTACCTACAAAAATATATATTAATTAGTGACATAATCTTCTTTAACCAAAAACTCAAAGAATCATGGTTATATGAGTGTACACACTGTGATTTTGCCTTGTATATGTATGTTTTGAGAGTTAGTTAACAATAAAACTCAAATTAAATGACTTAATGGCGAATAAATGGAATACATACTAAAAGATTCTAATATTAATAATACATAATACCAAAATTTTCTTATTGTAGTCAAATTAAATGACAACTATGGTAACCTTGACTCAAAGATTATAGTGAATGGTACAATTGAGTAGAGGTAGGCCTAAGATAACTTATTTGGAAGCAATTAACAATGATATCATAAAAATGAATGGAGGAGACAAACCTTAATGTAACTAAACGGGACAATAGAAGTCATGTTGCTGACCCCAACAATTTAGGATAAAGACTTGTTGTTGTTGTTGTTGTATATTTTCACTATTTGATGTTCCAGTAACCTTGCTATGTTGTCAAGTAACATTCCACTTTCTCCATATAGTAACCGCTTTACCTATTGATGCTTGAACTATTAATAGCCTTTCGGATTCTCTGCCATAGGCTAAGTGCACTCCTCATTGGTTGATACATCAGGCTTTTATTGATGGTAGTTTTCTTTGCCTGTGATCTAGAGGGATCAATGGCTAATAAATGCATTTAATTAGTAGCTAGAAGTTCTGCCCATAAAATGTCTTCAATCTTTCTAAAAGCTGGCTAAATTTCGGAACATGTGTCATGCATATAAATTGCTAGAAATACAGAGAAATTTAATTGCTCTACTCAATTTTCTTATTGTGGTCAAATTAAATGAGAACTATGGTGAATAGATGGAATACATACTAAAAGATTCTAATATTAATAATACATAATACCAATTTCGGGGATTGCATCTACTATGAAAGACTACATCTCAAGATTCTAATATTAATAAAACTCAAATTAAATGACTTAATGGCGAATATATGAAATTCTCAAGATTGTCTCAAGCTATATAGTGAACAGTACCCTTCAAATATATGTTTAATTGAATGACGGAGATCTTAAACCCGTGCATAGCATGGCTGCATATTGATATCTTCAAAATTATTTAAATACATATGCATATGGATAACCTTTTTAATACTACCATAATCCGAACACCCACAAATGAAATTTTTATGTGCATTAAGTATTACAATTTTTTTAAAAACTATGTTTTCATCTTGAAATCCCGACATACACGAAATTTATAAATGTTCACCATTTAACTTTCAGAAACAAACAAAAAAGTGATAACAAAGGCCTCCGTTTAAAAAAATATAACTTGAAATTAACATATTACTTCAATTCTCATATCTTAGAATTACATATGACTTCTATACGTTATGATATTGTTAAATTGGTGTCGATGAAACACTTTTGGGGATCAAATTTTCAGAATAAAACTTGAGGGTATCAAAGTTTGAAAGAGGTTGAAACTTTGGGGCATTAAAATGTTAGCCTAAAATCAACGGCATACACAACAATTTAAAGCAAAAGAAAACCAAAATTACGCCCAAAAAAAAAGCTGAATTGTTAAAATTTCACCTCGATCGCCGGCGTCTTCGGCAAGAGCTAAAGCAATGACAGCCTACAAATCGTACGTCGGATGAGAGGGCGGCTCCACCACCAACAAATCGTACGGCGGGGTTGGCGACTTGGGATCTGCTCGGGTTTGAGTCGATGATGAAGACGTGGGATCTGCTAGGGTTTGAGTCGATAATAGCCAGAGTATGATGCTAATGTGATTGGGGTCAGGATTGTTGAAGAGGGAAGAGATGAGATGGGAATTTGTTGAAGAGGGAAGAAGATGAAATGGGGAAAGGGGAAAGCACAACGGAGCTTGAGTTCTCAAGGCAGAAATCGATGTCTGAAGTTGAAGAAGACGAAGCGGAGATTTAAAGAAACGAGTTCCGCTCGGGTGCTCCGAAAATAAGAATTTTTATAATTTTTAAATGGATGGAAAATTAAAATTTTGGGCTGAAAATAACAAGGGTGCATTTGTCCTTTTTTTTTCCATTCCTATCCTATTATTTTTCTGTCCATAACCACTTCACCTACCTCCCTTGTTTCACGTTTACTAGGTGAATTGCACACTTGCAATGCACATGGTATACTTTTTTAGATTTAGTTAAAATTGATAATTTAGTTTAGCCTAATTTGGAGCTTATATACATGTTTAAACAAACATATAATAGTGTAATTTTCAGATTTTGATTTTTCAATGTACAAAAGAATATAAATCAATACAATTTATTACACTTATTTCTAAATGAATATTTTCTCGTAAATGGGGTATCAAATTGTTAATGTTAGTATGCTTATTTCTAAATGAATATTTTCTCGTAAATGGGGTATCAAATTGTTAATGTTAGTATGTAGAAAGATCATCTGACTTAGTTCTAAATCTTTTCAGTGAAAATATAAATAAAAGTGTAATTTTACAATCGACGGTTAATTTTATATTCCTCTTTATAATGATAAGAAAGGAATTGACATATGCATGCTATGATTTCTAAATGAATATTTTCTCGTAAATGGGGTATCAAATTGTTAATGTTAGTATGTAGAAAGATCCTCTGACTTAGTTCTAAATCTTTTCAGTGAAAATATAAATAAAAGTGTAATTTTACAATCGACGGTTAATTTTATTCCTTTTTATAATGATAAGAAAGGAATTGACATATGCATGCTATGCATAATTTTATACAATATGACTAAAAGCAAGAACAATAATATCTATTTTAAACACAACTTTACATTATAATACCAATTTTTTGTTATAAATATGGAAGGAAAAATAGAAGAGAGAAATCTAATATGATAGAATACGGCCAAATTAGATTTTGTTAAAGATCAAGTGAGAAATTAGTTGTAGAAAACTAACCCTTCTCAAATATTAGTTTTATCCTTTTCTATGATGTTTTCAACTCCAAAACTACCCTCTAAGTTCAACCTATTTACAAATGTAGGTGTGGAAGACCTATCAATTGCATAATCCCTTAAATTGTGGATTAGAGAGCTAGATTTTAGGCTTTTCTATTTACAGAAGATGTCATGGAGCACCGAAGCTGTTGGCTAAAGAAAATGGGGAAAGGGAAAAGGGCAAATTTTTGAAACAGTCCTATTTGGACTTTTATTTGCAAAAAACGACCCCTCAAAGTTAATTTTAAAACCCGACCTGGTTTCAGCCCTGTCGTTGAAACCAGGTCGGTTTCTGAAAATCTTTTTACGAAACTTCACGAGAGTTAAACTCCCGTGAAGTTTAGCATATTTTTAAACTTCACGGGAGTTCAACTCCCGTGAAGATTAATTTCTTCAAAAATCTTCACGGGAATTGAACTCCCGTGAAGATTTACTCACACAACAGACTTCACGGGGATCCAACTCCCGTGAAGTCTGTTAGAGTATTAAAAACTCCACGTGAGTTCAACTCCCGTGGAGTTACAGGCCAAATTTCAAGAGAATCGTTCTCTGAGAAATTTAGACTGCAACTCCACGGGAGTTGAACTCCCGTGGAGTCTCGACCTCTCCTATATAAGCGCGGGCGTACTCATCCCCGATCTCACTTCTCACGCCGCTGCCCCAAACCTTAGCCCTCTCTCCCTCGTCCCAACCACTGCCGCCCTAGGCCATTTCCGACCGCTGTCCCCATTTCCGACCGCCTCCCCCCTCCCCCACATTTCTGACTGCCTTCCCCCATTTCCAACCGTCGGAACCGTCGCTGTCGCCGGAGTTCGACAGATTGAAGGTAAAATCCTCCAAAAACTTTATTCTCTTAATTTCTTGTATTTTCTCACTATTTCATGGTGATTACATGTAAAAAAATAGATTTTAGAATTTCATTGTGAATTATTTATGAATTTTGTGAAGAAAACTTAAATAATTTTGTCGATTTAGAGGGGAAATTATAAATAATGTAAAAGTTAGTGTTACTACATATGTATGATATCAATTAGATTTTAGAATTTCATTGTGAATAATTTATGAAATTTGCTCAGAAAAATTAAATAATTTTGTAGATTTAGATGTGAAATTATAAAAAAAATGTAAAAAATAGTTATATGACATCAATTAGATTTTAGAATTTAATTGTGAATAATTTATAAATTTTGTGAATAAAAATTAAATAATTTTGTGGATTTGGAGGTGAAATTATCAAAAATAAAAAAATTAGTGTTACTACATATGTATGACATCAATTAGATTTTAGAATTTAATTGTGAATATTTTATGAATTTTGTGAAGAATAATTTTGTGGATTTGGAGGTGAAATTATCAAATATAAAAAAAGTAGTGTTACTACATATGTATGACTTGGTATATGAATTTGGGTAAAATTATGGTTCCCTAAAATTAATATAGGATTTAATGGTAAGTAACAATCAATTTTTAAAATCTTTTCGTGTAATATTGATCTTGAATGTTTTACTCTTTAGAGGTAATGATGAACGATCGAATCATAATTTTGTGTTCGTATGATGGAAAGATTAACTACCTCAAAAATAATATGCCCGTTTATGAAGGAGGTGCGACGAGACCGTTGTTTATAACAAAATCGTGTACTTTCGATGAGTTAGTTAATGAATTACACAAACTTACATTAACCAACTCACGTGAGTATCACTTTAATGTTATTTACAATTATCCTATTGTGGAGAACAGGACAAGAG